AAAATGTATTTTTTTGCAAAAAAAAAAATTAAAAAAAAGCTCAAACAGGTTCTAGAATTTAATATAAGTCAAAATAAATAATTAATTTTAACCATATATTTTATGAGTTTTACAACTTTTCAATTATATATTTCATCAACTTTTATTAAAATTTAATAAAAATCTAATTTTAATATTCATCAAAGGGGATTTAAGTTTTGAACATTGCTACACTTACACATTTTGGTACACAATCTCCCATACAACCCTCTCACGTGTGTGGGGACATGTGTGTACAAGTAGTATTTTTGTTAAGTTTTAGGCTACAATACTATGTAGAACTGTAGCCCCCATTGTAGGATCCACACATATGTGAAAAAGTTGTGTATGAGATTGTGTACCAAGTGTGTACAAGTAACATTTTTGTTAAATTTTAGGCTACAATACTATGTAGAACTGTAGCAGTGGTGGGACAACAACCCGTTTCGTTGGGTCTTTCTGCCCGGTTTGTACATTAACCCTTCAACTTGACGTCTCAAAATTATCCACAAAATTGTCTGCAGTCGCACACCAGGTGTTTGTCTGATTGCTTCAATGGCATTTTCATCTTGCCTGAAGTGCCATTCGTGGACTCATTCTCGAAATCTAGAGCACCCTTTCCCTCCCACTTCAAAACCCATAAAAGTAAGTTCTTTCCCATTTTCTCAGCACCACGAAAAGCATTTCTCTTCACTCTCAGCTTCGACTTCCTCACCTCCGTCAACCACTTGGCTTTCTCCGGACTTCACTACTAAGCAACTGTTAGAAACCCTTCGTCGCGAAAATAATGAAAATTCAGCTTTTCAACTGTTTGAATGGGCATCAAAGCAGCCGAATTTCACACCCACTTTGCCTGTATATGAAGAAGTTCTTCGGAAGCTTGGTTTTGCGGGGTCTTTTGATATCATAGGGCGAATCTTGGACGATATGAAGCGTTCAGGAGTCGAAATTGTGGAAGGTACTTTTTTTATTTTAATTGATAGTTATGCGAAATCCGGGTTTTACGATGAAGCTATAGGTGTTCTTGATATGATGGAGAATGAGTTTGGGGTGAAACCGGGAACTCACAGTTATAATTCCCTGTTGAATGTTCTTGTTGATGGAAACAAGTTGATGCTAGTTGAAACCGTGCATTCTAGGATGTCGAATAAAGATGTGAAACCTGATGTTTCAACGTTTAATATATTAGTGAAGGCCCTATGTAAAGCACATCAAATTAGACCTGCAATTTTGATGATGGAAGAGATGTCTAACTATGGTTTAGTGCCCGATGAGAAGACTTATACAACGATAATGCAGGGTTATATTGAGGAAGGAGATTTGGAAGGAGCACTAAGGGTTAGAGAACAAATGGTGGCAGCTCAATGCCCTTGGAGTAATGTGACAATAAATGTTTTGATTAATGGGTTTTGCAAAGAATGTAGGATTGAGGAGGCCTTGATTTTTGTTCAAGAAATGGCTAACGAGGGGTTTTGTCCAGACAAATTCACGTTCAATACTTTAATAAATGGTTTATGCAAAGTGGGGCATGTGAAGCATGCTCTAGAGATCTTGGATTTGATGCTTCAGGAAGGGTTTGATCCAGATGTGTTCACCTACAACACTGTGATCTCTGGGCTTTGTAAGATCGGTGAAGTTAAAGAGGCAATGGAAATTCTCAATCAGATGTTTTTGAAGGATTGTTCCCCGAACACCGTCACATACAACACCATAATCAGCACCTTGTGCAAAGAGAACCAAGTGCAAGAAGCTATGGAACTTGCACATATTCTGACAAGTAAAGGAATCCTGCCTGATGTATCTACATTTAATTCTCTTATACAGGGTCTCTGCTTAACCAGCAACTTCATTATTGGGATGGAATTATTCAGAGAGATGAAAACCAAAGGATGCCAACCGGATGAGTTCACATACAATATATTAATTGACTGCTTGTGCAGCAAAGGAAAGCTAGATCAAGCTCTGCAATTACTGAAAGACATGGAATCAAGTGGCTGTGCTAGAAATGTAATAACTTATAACACACTAATTGACGGGTTCTGCAAAAGCAAAAAACTCGAAGAAGCGGAGGAGATTTTTGATCAGATGGAATTGCAAGGGGTTTCACGAAATTTGGTCACTTATAACACACTTATTGATGGTCTCTGTAAGAGCAACAGGGTGGAGGAAGCTGCTCAGCTCATGGATCAGATGATAATGGAAGGATTAAAACCAGATAAATTTACTTATAATTCCCTCCTTTCGCACTTTTGCAGGGCAGGAGATATTAAAAAAGCAGCAGATATTGTCCAAACCATGACTTCAAATGGGTGTGAACCGGATGTTGTCACCTATGGGACCCTGATTCAGGGACTGTGTAAAGCTGGTAGAACTGAGGTTGCCAGTAGGCTCCTCAGAAGCATCCAGATGAAAGGAATGGTTTTGACCCCACAGTGTTATAATCCTGTAATTCAAGCACTTTTTAAGCGGAAAAGAGGAAAAGAAGCCATGAGACTCTTTAGGGAAATGGAGGAAAAGAGTGATCCTCCTGATGCTATCTCCTACAAAATTGTTTTTCGAGGGCTTTGTTCTACTGGAGGTTCGATTAGAGAAGCTATTGATTTTTCCTTTGAGATGATAGAGAAAGGCTATATCCCAGAATTTTCTTCATTCTATCTGTTGGCTGAAGGGCTTCGTGCTTTGAACATGGAGGAAGTTCTAATTAAACTAATCGACCAGATAATGGCAAAAGCAAAGTTCTCGGAGAATGAGGTGGCCATGGTAAGGGGTTTCCTCAGAATCCGTAAATTTCAAGACGCACTGGCCACCTTTGGCAGCGTATTGAATAGCCGAAAGCCCAGAAAAGGTTACTGGTGAAGATGGAGAACCTAATGCTATGTTTAGGCAACAGGGGACTAGCATTTAAGCATAAGGTCATGCCAGTTAGTGAACTTCGAGAACATTCAAGGACAATTGGCTTGGCTTGCTGGAAGGGAGACAGAGAAAGGAAAGCCTGTTCACAATATGATATGGGATTGTGATATCCTATCCAAGTTTGGGATTATAGATGTATTTAGACTTCAATTTTTTAGCGTCCAGGAATTCTCTAGGGAGACTCATATGATGCACTCGACTATTTCCTTTTGAATCTCTTTTATTGTTTGCCCTGCTTTATGAGGATGGTTATTGGTTTCAATATTTCTTTTCTTCAATGCTCTACAAAAAAGTGGTTTTCAATTATTTTCCCGAGCTAACATATGGAGGAATGTCCCATCATTTTCTGGAAGGTACCTCTTCTTTTCTTTTCATTGAAACTTTTGTTTAATCCATTATTGAAATTTAATTACCTTTTATGTGCAAACAGGCTACCTATTGTGTCGATTATCTTCTCAGGAATACTAGTGGTCAAAAAATCATCAAAACAGAAAGGAAAACATCAAGTTCTTCGACTGCATTCTTTTTCTGCATGCCTGGGGTTTTTTCAGTTGCTTGGCGGAACTTTATTAACAAAATGCACAACTAGATCTGTTGTCCTCAACTTTATCCGTCCCCTTCTTGCAAAATTTACACATTAGTAAACAAGGTTAACAAAAGGCAATTATCTGTTAACATTGTTGAATATAGTGGACACTTAACCCGCGTTTGGCACACCAAATTATGCCGTATAAAGTATTTAGTGAAAAATTATAATGGTAAGGTGGATAGTGTCTATTGATTTTTCATTCAAAAGAATGTTATTTATTTTATCTTCCTTATCTGTTTTAACCCAACCTTCGTATTATGTTATACAACAATAGTGCAATGATTATCTTTTGCGTAGAACATTGAAGAACACTGTCCACTTTAATCCATCGTAATATCATCTACCTATTAATATCTATTTTAACTTTACTCTGAATTCCTTATACGGCATTATTTGGCGCGCCAAGCATAGTCTTATTATCTGTCAATTTGCACTTTTGTTTCTTGAATTAGAGCATGTTTGGCTAAACAGTTTACTTTCTTATAAGTCGGGGTCTCTTAAATAGTGTGGACTAAAATTCACGCCTAGTTTACAAGTTGAAATTTTTTAGCGCCGAGCTTATGAATTTTAAGTCACACAACAGCTTTTACTTCTCCAGAAGGT